TGCCCTGTTCCCCCTAAGGGACAAGAAACTCTTATTGAGTATACCGACCCAACTTCTGGGGAGGTAGTAAAAAAGGTAGCACAAGAATGCTACTGTGTCAACTGCGGAAAGAACGGACACCCAGCTTCGGCTCGTGACTGTCCGCACCGACTCGCAATTTTAGCCTGCAAGGCTAAAGCTAAGGCAGACATACAGGCCAAAAACGAGGCGCGTTCTCTTAGAATCGCAGCTATCGGCTCCAGCATGACATATGCTGGTGTCGCAGGTGGCCGTGCAAAAACGGCACCTCCACGTCCAGCTAGAAATATTCCCAATTCTAGCTATCGCCCTCCACAAAAAGAAGGTACTTCTCAATCTGAGAGCATAGAAATGTGAGAAAGCTAGGACTTTTGGTCCTATCTTTCAAAAAATTATGGCCTCTTCACGTATAGACGCAGCCATGTCTGCCTGGTTGTTGTTGGTGGCGGAAATATTTCTACGGCATTTGATTTTGAATCGGATCACAGGGCGATTCAAATTCAATTAAATTTGGGAGATTTGGCGAGACATGAAGGACAGAAATTTCTAAACTTCAATCGCATGAATGTAGGACGATTTAGGCGGCAGCTTAGGTTAGGGCTAGATGAGTGCACACTACCATCTAACAGAAATGCTTCAATAGATGAGGTAGATAGGTGTGTGGAAAATCTAGGTGAGATTTTCCGCAATGCTATAGAGACCTCTGTACCTAAACAGAGAGTTAAACCTAAACCTCTTGGAGATCTTCCTCCGAGAATTTTGGGCTTTATTCGTGAGCGTCGCAGGTTATGCCGCACTCTCCGAAGATCTGGGGATCCAAATAGATTTCCTGCTCTTAGAGCGGATATCAGAAATTTGGATCGCATAATTGAGGACTCTGTTCGAATCTTTGAACAGGAGAGACTCAAAACTTATTTAGGGAGAATAAGAGTTGATGGGAAAACTTTTGGCAAAGTCATAAGGGCAGCTGGACTAGATACTAGAGAACCTGTTAGTCAGTTAGTGAATAATACAGGTCTACTTATTACGGACGACGGTGAAAAGGCTGAAGCCTTGGCAGACCATGTGCAGGGTGTTTCGCCGGCCATGGGAGGACCGAGTGCTAATTTCTCAGGAGGACCAGTTAATCGGTTTCCTGGGGAACATGATGCCCTCCGTAGCTCTGTTGAAAACGCCACTCGTTGGAACGAGGGTGGTTTTCTTCGCGCCGGTTGTGTGGGCAGGGCAATCGCCCGTAGGCCAGCACGTAAATCCTGCGGCTTGGACGGTATACCCGATACCGCCTTAAAAAAGGCGGGCGAGGTTATTTTCGCTTTCCTGGCAGTGTTATTTAATCACTGTCTGAACCTGGGTTACTTTCCTAGGGCATGGAAAGAAGCTATGTTGGTTCCCATATATAAGAGGGACTCTCCCCCTGGACAATGTAGCAGTTATAGGGCGATGTCACTTTTATCGGCCTTTGGTGAACTCTTCGAGTCTTTCATTCTGGAAAGACTGAATAAACTCGTAGAGGACAAAAGGGTGTTGAAGGACAACCAGTTCGGGTTTAGGGCAGGCCTGTCAACTGTCCATGCCCTAACTGCACTCACATCCTATGTGGCTTCAGGTCTAAACAATAGGCAAGGCACTATTGCAATTGGACTTGATTTTTCTAAGGCCTTTGATACTGTATGGTATCAAGGATTATTGTTTAAAATGCAACGGTTTGGATTTGATCACCAAACTTTGCGATTGGTAGGCAGTTTCTTATCCGATAGGTATTATAGGGTTAGAGTAGGCGAGCGACTATCCAGTCGCAGACCTGTACTGACAGGTGTGCCCCAGGGTTCCCCCCTAGGGCCGATGTTATATAACATCTATGTCAGTGACATGCCTACACCTCCACGAGGAGGGTTGGTATTATCGTATGCCGACGATGTGTTTGTGGCATATAAAGCCACGAATGCTCGTACAGCGGAAACACGTCTGAACATTTATCTTGCGGTCTAATATAGGTTCTTCACCGTATGGGGCCTCAAGCTAAATGGGGACAAATGCTCGGGAATTGTATTTACCGGGAAATCACGATATATTTCTCCAACTTTCGTAAGGCATCGTCCGGTCGTGAAAGTTGGACCTAATACCGTGGAAATTAAGGACAGGATAAAATACCTTGGGGTCATTTTTCAAAAGAATTTTGACTACAAAGGGCACATAGATTTTATCCTGGCCAGAGCAAAAAAGGTCTTCTTCAGCTATGAAGGGCTGATGAAGATGCGTGGGGGATTAACTCCCGAAGTTAGGTTGCTGCTATATCGGCAAATAATGCGACCTATTTGGTATCTCGTCCAGCCAGATGGAGAGGCTTAGGAAGTGGGAACGAAGTGTCCTGGCTTCATGTTTAGGCTTGTGGGGACTAATACTTAGAGAAGATGGTACTATCAGACGACCCTCAAATAGGGCCATATATGATAGGGCAGGAGGGGAGAGAATTGACAGGGTCCTGATATCAGGAGCACTGGAATTCTTAGACCGATCAGACGGACTTAACAACAGATTGGTTGAGGACGCCCTGCAAAGCAGCCTGGACGCAGAGGCACTGCGCAATGTTAGGTACCTACCCCAGGGTGCCTAAAGAAGGTTGTTGGAAGAAGGGTTGCTGTACGTCGATGGTGAGCTAGGTTTCCACCATCGGCGCTACAACACCCTCGATGTAGAAAGTACTGTGTACAACAGTACATAGTAACTGTAAATATTGTATATATTGTAAATAGTAGTTAGTAGAAACTAGTTTTAAGCCCTAGATTTAAGTTTTAGTTTTAAGATATATAATTAGTTGAAATCGCCCATTTTTTATTTTTGGATTTTTTGGGGCACTTATGTTAATTTTGTATTAAATTTCTTTTTGTTTGATTGGGTGCTGGTGGTACTCCACAGCAATTGTATGTAATTGTAGTAAATAGCGAATAGCTATAGTTTTCAGATTCTAGTACAGTAAGCCATTTCTGTTAGTACGTAAATTTGTTATCCAAATAAATATGGCCATAGGCAAAATGAAATGAAGTAATAAGTGAAATAAACTAAAGTGAAAAAATGACTGATCGTGGTAAAGGTGGTAAAGGCTTGGGAAAAGGTGGCTCCGTGATAACATCCAAGGTATTACCAAGCCAGCTATTAGACGTTTGGCTCGTCGTAGCGGTGTAAAACGTATCTCTGGCCTGACTTACGAAGAAACTCGTGGTGTTCTGAAGGTGTTTTTGGAAAACGTTATTCGTGATGCTGTCACCTACACCGAACATGCTAAGCGTAAAACCGTCACCGCTATGGATGTCGTATATGCTTTGAAGAGACAAGGCCGTACCTTGTACGGTTTCGGCGGTTAAACAAATTCTTGACGCAATTTGGAGAAATCTTTTTTACAACAAAACAATCGGTCCTTTTCAGGACCACAAAATATATCAAAAAAGAGATACTTTCTTGTTGAAAACTATTTTTTAATATTAAACAATCGGTCCTTTTCAGGACCACAAAATATATCAAAAAAGAGATACTTTCTTGTTGAAAACTATTTTTTTAATTAAAATAAATAAAAAATAAACACTTACCTTAGGAAATGTAGGAATTTTATCTTAAAATTTCTAATAATTTTCTTTTTCAGCTTTCTCGTTTTTTTTTCTCACAATTCGTGAAAAATGTCTAAAAATCAAATAAAGAAAAAATATAAATACTTACTCGTTTCAATTTTTTCCTGAATATTTTCACCGAAAACATTGTTTTACCGAGGTCTCGTATTTTATTCCCGATCATAAACATGCCGTCGGCAACTCACATCGCTAAACACATTAAGTTCTTCTTCTTCTTCCTTTTCGTATAATATGAGTATAACATAGCGTCGCTTTATGTATGTATTGGTGCTGTTTAGTCGATATTATTAAAGAACAACCATGCTGCGTTAGCAAAGGAATTTCATTTTCACTTTTTTAAATATTGTTGAATCTTTTCTCAAAATTTAATTTGAAATTGTTGAATATTTTTATTAAATAGATCGTTGATTCATATTATCTTAAAAATTTTCTTTAAAAATTTGTAAATTATTCACTAATCATTTCCTTTAAAATTGTATCAAAAATTAAAATTATTGAATTTTATTTAAAAATTCTTCATTAAATGAATTTTATTTTATTTTTGTTAAATTTTTTTTATTTAATTTTCAACTAATTTCTATTTAATTTTTCATTAGATTATTTTTTAAAAATCATTACTTCGTTTTATTTAAAATTATTTTATTTATTTCCTTATTATTAATTTAAAATTATTTTATATATTTCCTTACTATTAATTTAAAAATTTGTGATTTCATTTAAAGTATCTTTTATTTTCATAAAATCTATTTATTATTCGAAATTTCTTTTATTTTTTTTTCAAATATTTTCGTTAAAATTTGCTTAAATTTTCATTAATATTTGCCTTAATTTTTAAAAATTTTCTTATTTTATTTTAATTTAGTTGTTAATTTACGTTATTTTATTTTTCTTTGTAATTATTTTCGTTAATTTTCATTTCATTATGTTACTTTTATTCTATTTTTTGTGTTTAAAATTTTCCATAGCACCACAACGAACTTTTATTTTCATGTATGCGTCGATTTATTTCCACCAAAACACTACTTTGCCGCCAAAATTCCCTTGCAAATCGTCTACTTTGTGCCTTCACCGGGGTACCATTTTTTCACATAAAATTACTGCGAGCCACCACCAATGCAACATGCTTCTTCTTCTTCCTCCTCATAGTATACATACTCATTTGGTGACGCCACGATCTCTCTCTCGTGCTCTATTCCTGAAATCATAAGAGACAACAACAACGACAACACAAAAATGCAACTGACAACGAAAAACAGTTATTCTGCCAACGTCTCAGAAAATTATTGAGAATTTTATTTTTTTCATACAAATGTAGCTTGACGCAATTTTCTTTCTCTTTTCAAATATTTTTTGTCGTCCTGAAAAGGACGGATTGGTTGATTTTTCTATGGAATTATACGATGGTCTGTATTCTTCTTCTTCATTCCATAATACCTTTCGAAATAATTTAGGCTTTCTTTTCGGTCTTCTTGGGCAAGAGAACAGCTTGGATGTTTGGCAATACACCACCTTGGGCAATGGTAACGCCAGACAGCAATTTGTTCAATTCTTCGTCGTTACGGATGGCCAATTGCAAGTGACGGGGAATGATACGAGTCTTCTTGTTGTCACGAGCAGCATTGCCAGCCACTTCCAAGACTTTAGCAGCCAAATATTCCATGACAGCGGCTAAATAGACGGGAGCACCGGCACCAACACGCTCAGCATCCAGACCGCCGTCCGTCTATTGTTGCCCGGTGAATTGGCTAAGCACGCCGTCAGTGAAGGTACCAAGGCTGTTACTAAATACACCAGCTCCAAGTAAATGTCTTGATATTTTTCATTTTGCGTCGAAATACTACCTTAAAAGGCCCTTTTCAGGGCCACAAAAAACATTTCAAAAGAGATCATATTATGTTGAAGCTACAATTTATCATTATTTAGTAATAAGCGAATAAAATTCCATAAGAATTATATATTTCTCTATACAATGATTTTTTCCATGCATTTAGCTAACTCGCATATGTACCTCTGTTTAGCCTTTGCATGTTTGCTTGGGTTCTATGCTTGCTTGTGCGATATGCGATAACAGCCATCGTCGTCGTATATGTGTGCGTGTATTAGTGGTGATTTGCCTTGCCGTCGTTGATCAACATCGAATGGGCATCCTGTATGTGTGAGCATTTTGTTACAGCACAACGGCAAAGCAACGAAATATAAGGCTGAGGCAGAAATTTTCAAAGGAAAAAATATATTGATGGAAAATGTAAATATTTTGCCAAAATGTCATTTCTAGATGAAATTTGTGAAATTAAACAGAGAATACGAAAATATCAAAATTTTTAAAATTAAGTAGAAATTATAAAAATGACCAAAATATGGGGATTTTCGAGAATTATGACCTGTGGGTAATTAGGAAAAATTGTAAATATTTTATTATTTTTTTATGACCTGGGTTAAAAAATAATCCAGTGGCGTCCACCATTATATTGGCTCAATTAATTTCCTAATAAGAACAGTAATTAGCGAAAGTAAATTTTTTCCCAAAATTAAACACGTGTACAAATTTACTTATTTATTTAGGTAACAAATATATACGATAACTGTTGAAAATAAATATTTTTCTCTTTTTTAATTTAATTTGTAGCCCTGAAAAGGGCTGTTAGATAGTTTGTCTTCGAATATCGAAAATATTGTGGAAAAAGTAATCTTTCTGGGAAAAATTACTTCTTGGCGGCGGCTTTCTTAGCATCTGGCTTCTTTGCTGCTGCGGCCTTTTTGGGCTTAGCAGCTGCAGTTTTTGCCTTGGGTGCCTTTGGTTTAGTGGCAGATGCTTTGGCGGCGGTCTTTGCTGGTTTAGCTTTAACTGTACCGGTTTTCTTGGCAGCCTTTGCCTTTGTTTTGTCGGCCTTCTTCTTTTCAGCGGTCTTCTTGGCGGCAGAGGGTTTTTTTGGCAGCTGCCTTTTTAGGGGCGGCAGCCTTCTTCTTTTTGTCACCAGCGGCTGGGGCCTTCTTCTTCTTTTCGGCAGTCTTGGCTTTGGGTTCCTTGGAGGCCGAAGCAGACAATTTGAATGAACCAGAACCACCCTTACTTTTAGTTTGGATCAATTTTCCACTGGCAACGGCACCTTTCAAGTACTTCTTGATGAAGGGGGCCAATTTTTGGGCATCTACTTTGTAGGTGCTGGCCAAGTATTTCTTGATGGCGGGCAATGATGAACCTCCACGTTCCTTCAGGGTCTTGATGGCGGCATCAACCATTTGCTGGGTTGGAGGGTGGGTAGGGGCAGCTGATGGCTTCTTTGCTTTGGCAGCGGCTTTTTTTGGTGCCTTTTTCTCAACAGCGGCAACTGGGGAGGCGGTGGCTTCAACAACGGCGGCGTCAGACATGGTTATTCACTGTTTGGTTTATATTTCACTGTTAACACAAATACACTCACAAATGTATGTGTACTATTATTTTTGTTAGCGGCGAGCTAAAGTGTAGGTACATCGAAAAGATGAGATGTGCATAGTAGTCAATTGGTAAATTTTTCGAAAGATTGTGTGGAAGCGTGTTTAATTTTTTACAAAAGTTTTCGGAGAAATTAAATTTTCCTGAAGAAGCTTTGATAATTTTCACTAAAAATGTTTTATAACTTTAAAGTATAGATTTCAGGCTATGTTTTAAAGAAAGTTTGGTGTAATTATCACTTGCCGTTTGTGAATTATAAACGTTTAACTTGGCAGATTATAAAAATGTAATCACAAATTTCCAACTAAAATTTAAAAAAATCGAATTTTTCATGAAAATTTTATTGAAAATTCTTTTTGAAAATGTAGCCTGATATGTTTACTTTAGGATCAAAGAAAAATATCGATGAAATTTCATATTTTACTATGTGAAAAAATTGAAATTATTATGTGGTCTATGACAGCAGAAATCCTCTTGTTGGCATAATTTCAATGAAGAAAAGTTTTTCTTGAAATAAATTTGAAAGCTCAAATCTTAACAAGTTTTATAAAAATTTATTAAATAACATTTCAGAATTTGTATATTTACATCAAAATATAACATTATTCACAAAAAGTAATAATTTACGGGGAAAAGTTACAAAATCCCCAGAAGACTTCATACTACCAATGTACAGGCATTCAGTGACAAACGGTTATGTATTTTCATTTTGCAATATTTTTTATGAAATTTAACATAATTTGTTCTAAAATTTATTAAAATAGTATTAGAAGCCATTTTCTAAGTTATTTTGTCAAATTTTTGTTAATTTTATGAAAAAATATTCCCAAAAAGAAATTCCTCTTTACAGGCAAATATCACCTAGAACACTTGGAAATGTCATGAAATTAATTGCGTTTTACAAAATTGTTTTTCGATCAACTTTGAGGGCAGGTATTATTGGCATTTCTTTTTATAATACTTTAAATTATATTTTACATCAAAATTCTCAACAAATTAATTATTTTCTTCTTCCATTTTTGAAAATAATAAATTATGACCAATTTCTCTAAATACGTCGGACAAAAATAATTTTGTGATTCCATACGGAGAAAATTCATTATCAAATCTCTTAAAATGCTTTTAAAAAATTTAAAAATTTTGCTGAAAAGGAATAAAACATATTTCATACATCATTCCTGAAAAAAATTAAATAGGAGGGGCAAAAATTTATCTGGTAATTTTTAAAATTCACATGAAATAATTTGTATAAATTAAAGGCAGAGAATTTTTTCCCACTAAATTGAATAGTCCACAACAGAAAAAAAAATGATCGAAGGGTCATAAAATAAAACAAAATGGACAAAGAAATCCCGTTAGAAAAATGTATGTGGTGGTTGTTTTTATGAGTCATAGAATTTTATTCGAAGAGGGAGTACAAAAATGATAATAATTTTGCAAATTAAAGGAAAATATCAAAATGGATAATTCAAAAAATTCAAATAAAATTAAAAAAAAATAAAATATTCGATCAAAATAAAATAAAAAAATAAAGTGACGAAAAATAATCAAGGAAAAAAACCAACGTCAAAAAAATACTTCTTTATTTTAAAAATTTTCAAAAATAATCAAAGCCCTAAATTCTTTTTATTTATTTCAAAAAAATACTAAAAATTGTAGATTGAGTAAAAAATATCTCTTTTTTGTAAAATATTTGTGGTCCTGAAAAGGACCGATTGTTTTGTTGTAAAATTGTTGCATTTAAAACGCCAAGAATTTAAGCACGTTCTCCACGAATACGTCTGGCCAATTGGATATCCTTAGGCATGATGGTGACACGCTTAGCATGGATGGCGCACAAGTTAGTATCTTCGAAAAGACCAACCAAGTAGGCTTCGCTGGCTTCTTGCAAAGCCATAAGAGCAGAGCTCTGGAAACGCAAGTCAGTTTTGGAATCTTGAGCGATTTCACGAACCAAACGTTGGAAGGGCAATTTGCGGATCAACAATTCAATACTCTTCTGGTAACGACGGATTTCACGCAAAGCAACTGTACCAGGACGGAAACGATGAGGCTTCTTAACACCGCCGGTGGCTGGGGCACTCTTACGGGCAGCTTTGGTGGCTAGTTGTTTACGGGGAGCCTTTCCACCGGTCGATTTACGGGCAGTTTGCTTAGTACGAGCCATTTTTCACTTGAATTTTTTTCACTTCACTAGAGATATGCACACAAACACTGTTAACACTGTAATAACGTTGCCATCGTTTTCGTTTTGCCAAAGGCCATATTTATTGATAAAATAATTAAAATCTATACAGCATGACTTACTGCTAAATTAGGAATAAAATAAAAATAAGGCTATTCGCTATCTACTACAAGTATATTAAAACGCTGCAGAATTCTGCCAGCGGCGATTATACAAATAATTAAATACAATATTCAGAAAACCCCAAAAAATCAATGTAAAAAAGGGCATGGACATGGTAATATTAAAAATAAACTACATTAACTTATAGACTACTTACTATCTAATTAAAAACTAGGTCTAAGAAAAAATAATATTTACAAAGATTACTGAGTGGTTTTATATACGGTATCAACGATATTCATGGAATTATACCTCCTGCGGTAAAATAACAGTTCATCTAATTCGTTATATAAAAGACCTTCTTCGAGGAGTTTAGATAGAGACCCTGGTGGGAAGTGCTTTCTTGAGCGCAGAGCCTCTGCATCATATGGGCAATACAGGGAATCCTCAACCAAATTATTCTCCAGCTGCCGTGCACCCTGTACAAAGTTCAAGGCCCCCCTCATGAGGAACCGATCAATCCGCTCAATGTCAGCCGTGTCATATGTTGCCCTACATGATGGCTTTCTAATTGACCCATCAGATCTGATAGATGGTCTCAGGCCTAGACAATATTTTAAAATAGCCCTTTCCCATCTCCTAAGTCTCTCCATCTAGCTCGACGAAATGGGGAACCATACCGGAAAAGCATAGGAAACTATGGGTCTAATTACCTGTTTGTACAAAAGAAATTTAATGGAATTTGAAAGGCCACCGTTATGTCGAAGCACACCCTGATATGCAAAATACATTTTTTTTTCGCACGTTCAAGAATAAAATCCACGTGCCTGATAAATTCTAGTTTCTCACAGAGGATAACTCCCAAATATCTGATTTTATCCTTTACAGGAATTATTTCGTCCCCCACTTTAAGTATAGGGTGGAAGGATCTGAAATTAGGGAAAACGACTCGTGGTTTACCTTTGAATACTATTGCCGTACATTTGTCAACGTTTAGTTTGAGGCCCCACATAGAGAAGTATCTATGTAAGTCCTCAAGCCAAGTATTCAAGCGGGAAGAAAGAGATGTCGCCCTAGGTCCGGACATTGCTAAGATAACGTCATCCGCATACAGAAGTAGCAAGCCCCCATGGGGTGGTTCGGGCATGTCACTAACGAAGATGTTATAGA